TTCGGAGTCTCAGAAGGAGCCTGGCGGGGGCTCGGCCCACGCCGCCAAAGGCTGGAGATCTCTGCTGCCAATGGGCACAACTAGTAGTCGCGTGCAAACATTCGGAGCATCACAATCATAAGATCAGGAACCGTGCGCCGCTTGCCGTTTCACGGATTCTCGTTGGTCATCTGCGCGTCCATTTCCTGCCGGGAAGCGGCGAGAATACATACTACACAGCCTGTTTCTAATTTATGCTTCTCTACGCGTCGCTGCCGGAATAAAATGGCCTCGCTCGCGACGGCGGCGTCATCCACTCCGAGGACGAGCCTCTCGTCATCGCCGACCTCCGATGTCTCCGCGATCTCACGCTCCCCATCCTTGTGCGCGGCTTTGGCAACCTTTCTGAGCTGTCGCTTCTCCTCGCGCCGCTCTGCACGCTTTGCGGCCTTGCGTCGACGCCTGGAGCTCGAGGATGCGGACGTCTCGCTCGACTTCTTGTCTTTTGCCTCGAGCTTCTTGTGAGCCTTCACCTTCGCCGTTGTCTTCTCCTCATCGCCCTCGTTGGCCTTCGTCTTCGCCAACAACTTGGTCGGCTGGTTCTCGTCCGTGGACCTGGCCTCCTTCTTGTGCTTGCGCTTCTCCTCGCGCTTGGCGGCCTTGCGGTGGCGCTTCGAGCTCGAGCTGGAGGAAATCTTGCTCTTCCGTGCGTGTCTCCCGTCCTCCGGCGCCCGGATGCCCCAGGCGAGCCCGCCGGCGCCGCTGTCGTCCAGCTCCTCATCGCTGTCGCCGCCCCATCCGCCGTAGGTCCGCTTCCAGGCTGCATCGTCCGTCTGACGCTGCCCGAATGCTTCCACCAGGTAGTCTATCAGCAGCTTCAGGGTCTTCGGCGACGATTGCCAGCGAGAGAGAGACGCCTCGTTGGCGACGGTGGTGGGCACCTTGCTGCTCCAGTTGCCGAGCGCATTTGCGAGCGTGCAGGCCTCCAAAGCTTGCATGCCTCCCATGTACAGTAGGCTTGCTCTCTGCAACATCGTCGGCAGTGCCGTCTG